GATACTCAGATATCGCCCGAATTAAAACCTTACTCTTGGGATCACTTTAGGGCTACTAACCCATGAGTACCTTCCCCTAGTGCGCACTATAATGTAGGGAGCTCTCTATCCCCGTACTAGAACCAAGTCCTAGCCATGTCAATTCTTGATTGATATCCCAAGTTCTAAAATCAACAAGTTGTGCAACCAAGAGTGCATCATGATACAAGTAATGCATTAAACCACATTCCATACACAACCAAGATTTTGGAACACACAAGTCATGCCCTAAGTCCTCAACTATAATGGCATGTGAAATGTCAAGAAATCATAGTCTGCATTTACATAGACTTCAAACTAGGATTTAAAACACAAGGAATCTATTGATGTAAATATACCACAAGTATAAGATTAATGATTTAATTATTTACTAAGTAATACATGGATAATTAAATCATTCCAAGACAATTATGCAAGTTTATTAAGTACATTCATGAAATCAAAATACAAGGAGTCTAGATACATAATAAAAAGTTAAAAGTCCTATGAAATATAAGTTACAACCGTGTGAATTAAGTTTCGTACAAGGAAAATAATTAAATATAAGTTTCAAAACTTATTCGACTATACTCAATTTGATACACGTGAAGGAACTTGTTAAGGAAATCATGAATACTAAGTTAGAAACTTAATCAAGCTCATCGACCCATTGAATATGTTTTAATTAATTCTTTTAATTAAAATCTCTAGATTTTAAAACTCATCCAAATGCTCTCAAATTAAAGTATGTTATAAAACATGCCAATACTTGATTTAATAGCCTAATACAAGTGATTTCCATGCAAGCTACAACCATGATAATTAAACATTAATACAAGAAAAATAATAAATGAAATGTTTCAAAACCTAATCAAATATTCCCGATTTAATATATGTAAAAGTATATGGCATGCACATCAATAATATCAAGTCGGAAATCCAATGGAGTGAATAGTACACTTGGAATTAATTAATTAATCAAATTAATTAATTATCTCTAGATTTTAAAACATTTTCGAATACTCTCAAATTCACATATGTTGAAGAGTATGTTAGGACCTAATATAATATGACATCACATATTGATTTCAAGTTAGATAAGGTCACATGAATTAAATTTTCATTCAAGAAAATTATTCAATAAAAGCTTCAATACTTATCCAAATGCTCTCAATTTAATATATGTCAATGAATATATCAAGCTGTAATATAATAGCATGTCATAAGTTTAAACTAAGGTATAACCAACCGGGAGAATTAAATCTCATACAAGAAAAATAAACAATAAAGTTTCTAGATTTAATACAAATGTATGTGATTAAGTTATATAAACATGAAATACACTCAATATAACCAAGATATAAATCTAAGACATCCCCTACCTCAATTTGAGATGAAAATCTCAATTCCACACCGAAAGAAAAGTGTTCCGAATCTGACGATACAGCAGGGTTATGTTGGGGACAATGCGAGGAACAACTTTAAACTTTGAGGTACCATGAAAATCCAAACTCGAACTTGAAACCCGAACTCAAAAGTAGTCGGAAATGGATTCTAATAAGAGGGAAAGGAAGACCTAGTCAAGGCCTTCGATAAACGTTAAAGCACGACGGCAGAATACCTAAGGGAAGAAGGTTAAAATGAGGAAAGAAGAGTGGCAGCCCCTCTTGGGCTGCCATGGCAGCTGCTGGTCGTCCATGAAGAGAGGAAAAGGTCAAAAATGAAATGTCTCACCCCATTTTTATAAGAAAACCCTAAAAGTGCCCCGCCGGGTCCGGAAAAGTGAAATTTAAGCAGACACACTCAAACAGTGAAACTCTGTGAACGAAAAAGAATCGAAATGAGAAAAGATAAATAACGAAAGAAACAGTGTCGAAAACCGAGTCCCGAGTAGAGAGATATGCCCCAAATAAGTTCGGCGGCAACCGGGGTCAGAAATCCCTAAAACTGGGGAAAACGACCGGGAGGATATTCTAAGAGTTCATGACTTGACGAAAAGTGAAAATGAATCCCGTACGAGGATTCAAGCTTAAAATGAGGTATTTTGTAATAACTTTCGTTAATTGCATAATGGTCTATACAAAAAGGGATGACTACAAAACTGCCCAGAATGAAAATATCTTTCAAAAGATATTTTCTTAAAAACCCCCAAAATAAAATATCTTCAAAAGATATTTATGAAAAACACCCCAAGAAAAGAAAATATTTCTGAAGAACTTTGCATCCATGCCTCTATGGACACCGGGAGTAACCAGAGTACTTTTTTACAAAAGTAAATATATGTATTTCATGGAAACCACTTAGAATGAAGGTACGTGAAGTCGAAAATCAACTCCGAGCATGAAAGGTGAGGTTGTGCCTAAAAGTGACAAACGGGGAAAAGACAAAATAGGGAAAATGACGAAAAGTGAATAGTGAATAGTGTCCAAAAAGTGAAAATGTGGAAATAATTCGATCCTTAAAAGAAGTTGTCAATCTGAACGAAAGAGTCTCGAAAACCATTTCTAAGCACTCGAGACGACACCCAGTGACGAGAAACAGAACTCGGAAAAGAAAATTAAACAGAAAAAATTTATCCGTAAAATTTGAGAAAAATGAAAAGAGGAAAAATGACCGGGTCATTACAGTGATCATGAATAAACTTTGATTTGGGTTATGAGCCATACTGAGGTGGAGGTTGGGTTGAGAATGAAACCTTCTTTGGTTTGGTTGGTTGGGGGGGAGGTTTCTTTGGAGGAGGAGTTATCGGATGGTTGTCAGTCTTAGCAGCTGGTTTCTTGAGGATAGAGATGGGGTTGTGCTGCAGTAATTTGTTAGCATTACTGTGGTCGAGTGTGGAGTAATTGGTGGTGAATGTAGGTGGGGTGAATGGTGGTTTAAGGTGGTTAGGTGGTCGGGATGATGACTGGTTTTGGGAGCTCTCATTTTTTATAAGAATAATTTTATCAACTGAAACTTGTCCTTGCAGCATTGGACTTAGAATGAGCTCTTTGCTTGGTGAGGAACTGATTTAATTGGATGTGCAAATTGAGCCTTCTTCAATTTAAGGGTAAAATAGTAATTTTACTCTCCATTAAGAGTCTAAGGCTTAAGGTTGATTCCGTTGCGTCTCTTTAGTTTGATCTTAGGGAAGAGTGTTCTAAATGATATGCATAAATGAATAATGATTATTATTAGTCTAAATAGCATGGACGCCCCCTACACATATCTGGATCGGACCTGTAATGGGAGCGAGGGCAAGTGTTAGAGTGCGAAAATGACAAAATTTAAAATTTAATTAGAGGAGGAACATTTTCAGAATGCCTATTTAGTTGTATACTATTGTGTGTAAAACGTTTTCAATATTTGTATATAAGCTAAAGATATTATATTTTGTAAAATAATAAATATATAATTATAAGTCACTTTATTTCTTTAATGTTATGAGATACATAATATTAGTAATAACTAAAATACAAATATATATATATATATATATATATATATATATATTTCAAAACGCAATTTTAGAAATCTATATATTTATTCTTAAAGAGATACAATTTATATTAGATTCTTAAAGAGATACGGTTTAAATTTTTGTACATGAAGTAATTATTTTAAAGAATTATAAAATAATAAACTATTAAGTACATTTTGATAATTGTATCCATAATAAATATCACATATAATTGTCTATATTACAATAAATGAGAAATCATTGTGAATTCTCAAGGACTGACTAAAGAAATTCATGGATTGACAAATTAAATTAGTGAATTAGGGACAAATTTTCTCTTAAAGCATCAATTCAACCGCGGAACATGAGAGCAACACTCCTTTAGAAGGAATGTGTGACTTAGAATGAGTATGGATACAGGTCACAAACATAAGCGGATACATCAACATGCTAAATTATAAAAAATGAAAGATACATGTATGGAGTGGACATAGCTATATATAAATATGAATTTTTATTTATATACAACTATTGAGTAATAGTATTATAAAATTATAATTAATTTCTAATTTATATGCTAAGAGTTGTATTGAAATAATTTAGAAAATAAAATTATGTTATTATTGAAAGTGTTTGTGTCAAAAATAATAAAATTTAATTTTTTATTTTATGGACATGTATTTGAAGTGATGGACACGTATTTGAGGTCGATGTCCAACACATACTTGATACGACACGGGTACGATTCCTTAAAGAAAGTGTTCGTGCTTTCTAATTATTATGAGTAGTTTATTAAGTCCCCGTTTGGGAGAGCTTTCTCATATTAAAAGTCCTTCATTGATTAGGCCTTCGTGAAATGAATTTCGTTGAAAGGAATTCATAAGAAAAATACGTTTGACGAGCATGTTTTTAAAATTTACTTTAGCTTTTAGATTATTTTTTTCTTGACAATAATATCCGTTATCCTTAATAATTATTGTAAGCAACTAATAAAGAGGCGAATGCGACAGTGGTGGAAGGCGCTGACAATACTGGTGGTGGTGGCGGCAAAAGGGAATTGCGATAGTGGTGGTGGTGGTGGAAGGTTGCGGTTGAGGGTGGTGGCGGTGGAATGTGACAATGTCGGTGGTGGTGACAGTGGTGAAAGGGTGGTAGTGGTGGAAGGTGGTGATGAAGGTGGTGGTGGTGGTGGTGGTAGTAGAAGGTCACAGTGGCGACAGTGGTGGAAGGTGGTGATGGTGGAAGGTGGTGGCGGTGGTAGAAGGTGGCAATGGTGAAATGTGGTGGTCATTGGTAGTGGAGGGTGATGGTGGTTGTGGCAATGGTGGTGGAAGGTCACGGTGGCAGCGTTGGAAGGTAGTGGTGGCAACGAAAGGTGGTGGTGAAGGTAGAGGTGGTGGGTAATGGTGGCGATGGTGGAAGATGGTGGTGGCAGAAAGTGGCGATGGTGGAAGGTGGTGGTAGAAGGTGGTGGTGGCAGAAGGTGGTGATGGAAATTGGTGGTGGTGGCAGAAGGTGGTGATGGAAATTGGTGGTGGCGGCGATGGGGGAGGGTAATGGAGGTGGCAATGGTGGTGGTAGTGGTAGTGGAAGGTCACGGTGGCGATGGTGGTGGTGGTGTAAAGTGATAGTGGAAGGTGGCAACGACAATGCTGGTGTTGGTGGAAGGTCATGGTGGTAGTGGTCAGGGACGGATGAGTAAGGGGGGCAAAAGTTATTTTTTTATTTTTTACAATTTCAAGGGGGCAAAAGTGAATCTTCAAAGGTATATAACTGAAAATAAGAAAAATTACAATTGCTTAATGCTAAAAAATAAAAATAAAAAAAAAAAAAAATCACCTCTTTAGGCCTGTTCCTAGCAGTGGTGGTGGTAGCGGGGGGAGGTGGTGGAGGGTGATGGTGGTGATGACAATGGTGGTGGTAGAAGGTCACATCGGCAGTGGTGGAACGAAAGATTAAGAAATAATATAAGACAATCTTCTTCATTTATGAAAATATATGGGTAAATTAGTAAAATAACAAATTTATTCTTAAAATGAGGTTTCAAAAGTAACATTTTCTTACTTTAGTGAAATGTACTTTCCAATCATTGGCTTTTCGAGAATGTCCTTTACTATGTGTAACCAATGTCACACATTTTTAATTTAATTTTTTATTTTATGGACATGTATTATGGTAATGTAGCTACTTCATAATTATGATTTTATAAAACTTGTAAGTGAAAAATGGACATAAATTTTATTGATGGCATAATCTTTTTGATAAAAATTTAAACTTCTTTGAATCAATATTTCATAGAGAAGAAAAAAAAAAAATACACAAGAAGATAAAATTAATTTTGTAGAAATTATTTGGTTTGTAGTAAAAAAAACACTACCTATGTAATTTTTATGTAATAAAAAAAAAATAAAATTACGGTTAACAAAACAGTTGTTATCAAGATAAACACAATAAAATTCAATTCAAAATGTCTAGTTTACAATTTTTCTTTAATCAATAATTAATTGAAGAACAATGATATTCACACGTGAATTATTTAATTAAATAATTAAGTACAAGGCTCTATTTTATTATTTGTTGTATAATTGTTCAATTAAAAAACAATAGATCCATCCACTGCAACTATTCCTGCAAGGGTCATTTTCCTTACCTAAATAATTTTTACAACTATTCATGGCCACCTGGAAATTTTTTTCCGGCGTCATCCACCTCGCCACCTTCCCCGTCCTCTGCATCGATTACGTCGAAAATCTTCCCCTTCTTCGGCTTCGGCCTCCATCGCTACCTCGCAATCCTCGCCGGTCCGGCCTTCTTCACCCCGTTGCTCAATACTCCGTCTGTGCGGTCAATCACTACGCCGGCCACGATGTAACTATCAACACCTCATCGCTCTGTCTCCGTCGACAACTCTCTCATCGCCGGATTCTGCTTTGGTGTCAATATACATTTTTGGCTCTATTTTCCAGTAGTTTGTATTTATGTTACCTGATTTATGGTGTTGGAACTTAATAATTTTGGTTTGCAAGTTTAAAATTTTGTAATGTGTGTTATTACTGGTGTTCTCATCTTCATTTTTGGTAAGAAAATTAGACACAGAATGCGAGGTTAGAGAGAGAGAGAGAGGAGGGGTTCTCATTTTTCTGTAAAGAGTAGTAGGGCAAGATGGTAATTATACTTGATGAAAGGCCCAAGTAAAAATGTCATAGAAGTAATCAGTAGTTGGAAAAGTAAACTACACGTGGCAACTGCTAAGGCCGCGACTGCGCTACCACGGTCACCGTGGTTAGCAACCCTTGACAAAGACAATGGTTGATGTTAGGCATAGGCAAGTACTCTCGCTCCAAGATGTACCCGAGGTCTCTGGGCCATCAAGGCCAAACATGGCGACGCTCCCTCGCCACCACAAGAAACCCGCCGAGAAGCCACCAAAGTTCTACTCCGCAGACAATGTCAAAAAGCCCCTTGTCAACAAGGACCCAAACCCACCGAGCCAAGTATCTTTCTCTCTGTGTGTGTGATATATATGTAATCATTTTGTATTTGGTCTTTGATTCATAGATGTGTACTGATTTTTCTCTCTTTGCATCTTATTTTCTCTCTCTAGGGCTAGTATTGTTCTGGGTTCAGTGCTGATTATCTGGATGGGAGGTTAAGGGGAAGAGAGTTGTGTTCTTGAAACAACTTACTGGTGAGATTTTTCAGCTGTATTATTGCATTTACAAATGATTTATTCGTTTTCGTTGATTTCTCTTCGCTAATATTGGTCCTAATATAATTAATTTCTGTCAACATTTTTCTTTTTTCTTTTTTTGGTAGTATGTTATTAGTTTGATCTCATCTTAAGTGGATTTTGGGTAATTTAGCTATGCTTCAAAGGTTTGTAAGATTGTGTAGTGACTTAACTAATTATCTGTTATGGATTTAATATTTGTTTTTCCCACAATGTTTTACTATAAGTAATTACTGATTGATTTGGGTGCAACCCAGACCAAGGTTTGGGTAACAAACACTATTTCAATTGAAATAAGTATGTATTATGTCGTGAACTTCCCTTGCCAGCACAAAGTTATCTTTATTTATATAGCAATAAATAGCTATTTGTACAATTTTTCTCTACTGCAAAAGGCTGACTGGACATGTCCTTTACCACTTGTCAGGACTTTGATCTGGTTTAACCAATTATTTTGGACAAGGATAATTTAATTACAAAATGGTAAAGAAATGTATATGCATCTTCTAGGATATTTGATGTTATTTCTAATTTTGCTATGGTGGTGTTTGTAGCTTATATATATTTCTTTGGATGGTATAATGGTAATGTTTTCGTATGTATATATTATACCACGATCACTTTGTTGGGTTCCTTTCTCATGTTTTTGAATAAGTTTTGTTGGCCATGTCACTTTGATGTTTGTACTATTAGACCTCATGCCACTGTTATCCTGATGCTGGTTGCCTTGATAGATGCTTCCGTAGGATTTAAGTAACTTGTTACTTGGTATACAGTTGCACAATATATTGACTATATATAGCTGTCTCAATATATGATTTACTTAGTCCCAAACGTAGTCGTCTAGATCTAATATTTACGTTTGAGATGGTATGTAACATAATTGCCTGTTGCATCCTCATATTGTGTTACGGTAGGAACTAGGGGTGCCAATTTGTGTTATCGTGTCATATTCATGTTGCGTCATGACATGGGAATTATGCCATATGGGTCGACATGGACGTGACTAACACGACACGATTATTGAAAAGGTAACACCACACGACCAGTGTAACTTGTATAATAAATTGGTAAAGACCTGACATGACACGGTAAGACATTTACTTAAAGTTTCATAATATTAGGGTAATTTCAAACATGAATACACCAACTTTAATTAGCATGTCAGTTGGATCGACATTATTAAGCCAAACCCTAACTCACTTATCTCTTGTTGTGCCAAGTATTGCATTCCTAGTAGGAACCATAAAAATCCTATGTGGCCTCAATAGATGGCTTGGAAGGACCAAAGTTTCTAGGACTTGATATCGAGCTTCCTATATTACAATTTTCTTGGTTATAGGTCTTGCTGTCCTAATTTTTCTCGTCTCAGTATATCATCTTGAAAGAATGTCATCATTGGGATTATTCACTAGCATTGCGAGCGCGGTGTATATGTGATTTTTTCATGGGGTGTTGAGGTCTATTTGGGAGTTATAAAATTACCGTCTTAATTGCATCTTACATCTACCCATGAGCTTATCCTAAATTGCTTGCTGCTGTTGGTTTGGTTCTGATTGTATTATAATTGGAAACTGACTTTATAAATACTCAAACTTCTTTTGGTTCTCAAAAATACTGAAATGAAATATTAATTAAAATGAACTTCTGTTATTGGTGATGCCAACCGCAGTTGCAAAATTGTGTATTTGGTTCTATTTATTCATCTCAATTTATATGATATAATATTCCACTGCTTTTTGTATCTTCCATCAAAAGTTGCCGAGTATTTTAACAGAATCCATTTTGGAGGTAACAAGAATTTCACAACATTCTATAAACTTGTATGGTTGTTGATAGGGAAAAATATAAACCTACCCTACCCTACCCTCGATAAGATTGATTAGATTTCATTATCAAAGATAATGAAATCTAACGTGGTTCAACAAGTAAGAATAATCCTATTATAACTGGAGGAGGTCAAAATGATTAAATCATATCCCCGACAAATCTGGTAACAAATCTCCTATGATTTCGCACAAGCGGAAGATAAGATCAACCATCGACATCGGCGGAACGATTTTGATTCCAATCGACAGTCATAAATAGGGCACCAAGCCATTAAAGAAGGTACGACGTAAAAATTATTATTAATCCCTGCTTTCTTTTTAGACCTTCGTGACTAATTTGATCGATGGAGAGCTCTTGGCAGGCACCACACCGGTGCCGTCAAGGTTCATCGATCTTCTCCTCTCTTCCTTGCAGGAAAACGGTATCGTATCGGACTGCGCGAATTTCAGCCTCAATAGTTGGCGCCGTCTGTGGGAACGACGATTCCCTTGAATCAATTAATTACTCGTTAGGTATATACGTTTGCAGTCCGGTATGGTTACCGAAGGAACACCGTCGCATGGATCTGGTCAAAGGGTAGAGTCGGGTGAAAACCTGGACGTCCCAAACGACTAAGCACGGCTTGCAGCGTTGGAACTGTAGGTTTAAACTCTGAGTCAGGGTATGAACCAGTTGATCCAGCAAAATGCAACGCTCTTGCAACACCTTGTTCCACCGGTTCAACAAAACTTTCCAGGACAAGATCTTTCAAGTCCAAACGGAGGTAATGGGGATCTTGAAGAGAAGGATAATCATCCAGCCCAAAATGAGACTGAAGTGGAACAAAGCCAGGTGGGAACCTGACATAGAGAGGTGGTTCACCCATCTCTCCCACGGAGTTCCCGACCTCCTGAAAGCATAGCCTTCTGTCTTAAGGAAAAGACAAAGAAAGTTACCCATCTCGACTTGCAGATCAAGGATCTCAAGGGGAAAATGGAAGATGTAATGCAGGCTATGAAAGGGAAAGGTCCTGCTGCCGTAGATGACCTGGTACGAAGGACCAACCTGCCTTTCAGCCCCGCCGCTGTGAAATGTCCACTACCTAGCAAGCTCAGGATGCCCTCGTTCGAAAGCTTCGATGGGACCAAAGATCCCCTCGATCACCTGGAAACTTTTCAAGCTCTTATGCATTTACACGCTGTGCCAGATGAAATCATGTGCCGGGCTTTTCCCACTACACTTAAGGGATCAACGAGAGTTTGGTTCAACAAGTTGAAGCCAGGAACCATCAACACCTTCGAAGAATTGAGTAAGCAGTTTGTGAGCCACTTCATTGCAGGTCAGAGGCATAGGAGGCCGGCTACCTACTTGTTTACTGTAGAGCAACAAGAGGAAGAGTCGATTCGGGAATACATCACCCGATTTAACGCAGAGATGTTGCAGGTAGAAGAGGTGGACGACAAGGTAGCTTTGACCGCTTTCATAGGAAGACTCCAAACCTCCAAATTCTTGTTCTCCTTGTCAAAAGAACTTCCCACCAACATGATAGAGTTGTTGGTTAAAGCACAAAAACACATCAACACTGAAGATACCATGAGTGCACGGAAGGAAGGAGAGGACAAGAAGAGGCCAACCCCTCTCGCCAGGGATGAAAATAATACCAAATATAAGAAATCGTTCTTTAGCTAGAGCGACAACACATATCATGAGAAGGACTTAGATGAGTATACTGATTAGAAATTGTCTCACGGCTGGAATTAGCCTTATCAAGTCATTCAAAATAAAGACTGGGGGCATCTTTGTTAATCATTTTAAATGGAGGGTAGCTCCATCACGTGTTATTTTGTTTTTAATAAGCCTTGAGGCAATGATTGTTTTTAATAAAATTCCTTTTAGAATGCTTTCGTTGGGGGTAGACAGATTCTGGATTCCGCTCTTATTGCTAGCGAATGTGTGGATTCTAGACTTCGTAGTGGGACTCCCGGTGTTCTGTGCAAGCTGGATATTGAGAAAGCCTATGATCATGTTTGCTGGAATTTCCTGTTCTATCTGTTGGAGAGGATGGGTTTTGGTGAGAGATGGAGGAAGTGGATTGTTTCTTGTGTTTCCACTGTCAGGTTTTCGGTGTTGGTGAATGGCTCTCCTTCGGGATTCTTTGGCAGTTCTCGTGGGTTGAGACAGGGGGACCCTCTCTCCCCTTTTCTTTTTATTATTGTTATGGAGGCCCTTAGCAGGCTGATGAGAAGGGCGGTGGATTTGGGTTTTCTTAGGGGTTTCAAGATTGGCCTTGAATCAGTTCAGCAGTTGGAGATCTCTCATTTACTTTTTGCGGATGACACTATTGTTTTTTGTGAGGCTGATATTTCCCAGTTGAGGTATCTGCGATGTGTCTTGGTTTGATTCCAGGCTGTTTCTGGTTTGAAAGTTAACGTGGGAAAGAGTGTGATTGTTCCTGTGGGGGAAGTTCAGGAGGTGGACACTCTGGCTGCTGTTCTAGGATGTGGGACGCAACGCTTTCCCATCTCGTACTTGGGTTTGTCGCTGGGGGACTCGGCTAGGAGGGTGGGAAGTTGGAACCCGGTGATTGAGCGGGTCGAGAGAAGATTAGCGGGTTGGAAAAAACAATATCTGTCAAAGGGCGGTAAAGTTACGTTAGTGAAGAGCACTTTGTCAAGCCTTCCAACATACTTTCTTTCGCTTTTTCGTATTCCAGCCTCTATTGTTGGAAGAATAGAAATGCTCCAACGTAATTTCCTTTGGGGGGTCGCGGAGAAGAGTTCAAGTATCATCTTGTCAAATGGGAACAGGTTTGCAGGCCTATTCGGTTGGGAGGGCTTGGAATTAGGAGATTGGCCACTTTCAATTGTGCTCTTCTTGGTAAGTGGCTTTGGAGATTTGGTAAGGAAAGACATAGATTATGGAGAAAGGTTATCTCATATCGCTTTGGGGAGGAGAGAGGAGGGTGGTCAGCTGGATCAGTCAGGTCTGTTGGCGGAGTGGGGGTGTGGAGGGCCATTGGTAAGGGGTGGGATGCCTTTTCCAAACATATTAGATTCAGAGTTTGGGATGGAAGAACTATCCGGTTTTGGGAGGATCCATGCTGTGATGATAGGCCTTTGGCCCTTTTGTTTCCCAGGCTTTTTAGGATTGCTGTTGACAAACATGCAATGGTTACTGACTATTATCGCCTTGATAGTGGAAGGTTGTCTTGGGATGTGCGTTTTCGGCGAGCTTTTCAGAATTGGGAGCTGGATGATGTCACTGGGTTGTTGGCTCTTCTTTACGGACAGGAGGTGGAGGGGTCTGGGGCAGATTCTTTGATTTGGGCGACTTCTTCTCAGGGGATGTTCCAGGTCCGGTCCTTTTTTGTGTGCCTTTCTGGTTTTCATGGTACCTCATTCCCATGGAAGACGGTGTGGAGGTCTAAGGCGTCTCTTAGGGTGGCCTTTTTTGTGTGGACTGCAGCTTGGAGTAAGATTTTGACGTTGGACAACTTGAGGAAGAGAAGACATATCATTGTTAATAGGTGTTGTCTTTGCAAGATTAATGGGGAGTCGGTGGATCATCTTTTGTTGCACTGTCCTGTGGCTCATGATTGTTGGAGTTTGATGTTTGGCCTGTTTGGTATTCATTGGGTCATGCCTCAGACATCTTGGGAGTTGTTAGATATGTGGAGGGGCCAATGGGTGGGGACTCAGGTCAGAGTTTTTTGGAGGGTGATCCCTTTTTGTATTTGGTGGAGCCTTTGGAGAGAGCGTAATGGAAGATCTTTTGAAGGAAAGGAATCCTCTATTGGGGTGTTAAAATTTTCTATCATTTGTAATTTGTTTTGTTGGGGTCAGGGGAGAGACTACTCCTCTCTTGAGGAGATTGTTGACTTTATGAGTTCTTTGAATTCATAGGCTCCATTTTGTCTTTGTATAGTTTGGGTCGCGTTCCCCTTTTTGAACGCTTTTAATACAATTTACTTATCAAAAAAAAAAAAATTCCTTTTAGTTTATATGTGCAGTATCCCCGTACTATAAGGGATAGTAAATGAGTGTCATGTATTACAAGGACCTGGGCTGAGTGAATCCCGTAATCCGTATCCCCGTACTATAAGGGATAGTAAATGAGTGTCCCGTATTACAAGGACCCAGGCTGAGTGAATCCCGTAATCCGTATCCCCGTACTATAAGGGAATAGTAAATGAGTGTCCTGTATTACAAGGACCCGGGCTGAATGAATCTCGTAATTCATATTCCCGTAATATAAGGGATAATAAATGAATATCCTGTACTACAAGTACCCGGGTTGGATGAATCACATAATTAATATCCCCTTATAATAAGAGATAGTAAATAAAAATCTCTTATTTAAGAGGTGAGCTGAGTAAAACTCGTAAAGTTCAATTTCCTGACGAGCTGAGTAAAGCTTGTAAAATTTAATTCCTTCATTAAAGGAGTGAAACTCATACAATTTATTCCTTTATCAAGGGAGAGTACTGTTCCCTCGGGTGCCAAAAAAAAAAAAAGTTACCATTCATGAACAGTACTCGCGGGTACTGTTCCCTCGGGTGCAAAAAAAAAAAAAAAAAAAAAAAAATTCCCTGAGTCACTATTCACATGAATAGTACCCTCGGGTACTGTTCACAGGAGGGGTTAAAATATATATATATATATATATATATATTTATTTATTTATTACATTCCCAGAGCTAGACGTGCAAGCTTGGGAATGGGGGGCAACTGATTGGGAAAAATATAAACCTACCCTACCCTCGATAAGATTGATTAGATTTCATTATCAAAGATAATGAAATCTGACGTGGTTCAACAAGTAAGAATAATCCTATTATAACTGGAGGAGGTCAAAATGATTAAATCATATTCCCGACAAATCTGGCAACAAATCTTCTATGATTTCGCACAAGCAGAAGATAAGATCAACCATCGACATCGGCGGAACGATTTTGATTCCAATCGATAGCCATAAATAGGGCATCAAGCCATTAAAGAAGGTACGACGTAAAAACTATTATTAATCCCTGCCTTCTTTTTAGACCTTCGTGACTAATTTGATCGTCGGAGAGCTCTTGGCAGGCACCATACCGGTGCCGTCAAGGTTCATCAATCTTCTCCTCTCTTCCTTGCAGGAAAACGGTATCTTATCGGACTGCGCGAATTTCAGCCTCAACAGTTGTAATGATTTGTTTCTAGATGGAAGTTATTACTTTAATTGATAGTTGTTGCCCCTATCCTCATCCCACCAAACCTACCCCCATCCCCCCCAAACCAAAAAATAAGAAAATAAGAAAGAAAAAAACAGCTCCTGTGCTCCCTTTTCTCTCAGCTTCACTGTGTTCGGGCCAACATATTTATGCATAGCACTTGAGATTGCTCTCATTTTCCTCTTTACTGCTACAGGACATTTCAAGATTAATGGTGTGCCTCTAAGTCTGGTCAATTAATCTTATGCGATTGGCACTTCAACCAAGGTCGACATCTCTGGGTCAAGGTGGAGAAAATCGATGACAAGTATTTCTCAAAGAAAGTTGAGAAGAAGAAGAAGAAATGAGAAGACGATCGAGTTCTTTGAGGCAAAGAAAGAGGTTTGTCTAATATTATTATACGGAACATTGAACTAATACAAGGTTTTGTTTATTCTGACCCTTCATTATTTATTTATTTTTTCTTGCGAAATGTAGGAGAAGAATGTTCTCCCACAGGAGAAGCAAGATGATCAGAATTTCTGCTATGGATGAACTTTTGATAAAAGCCATTGAAGGTGTTCCCGAATTGAAGGCTTATTTGGGTGCAAGGTTTTCACTCAAGGCAGGTATGAAACCTCGTGCGCTTGTTTTTTAGAGGTAGAACTTTGGAAAGTTTTAGGACTGATATTTTTCTCCCCCTCCATGTTTTGTTTTGTGTGCACTTGGTTTTAGTGTCTCTGACTCATTGATTATCTAAACTTTATGTTATGTTATGCAATGAAATGTGAGAGTTTGCTTTCCTCCCTTTATTCTGGAGTACAATTTATCTATGATATATATACTTTACAGATTTCTTCATCTTCTGTTGATATTGTTTTGGAAGGTGTTCTTTCTGTGTGTAGTGATGACCAGAAACATTAAAAACCAATATGTTCTATGCTTAATCGAAGCAAAAATGGAGAAAAAGAAAAATCGGAATCTTTTTCTTATTGTCTAAAATAAGTGATTAGTTGGAACTGAGTTTACTGGCCATAACATTCTACTAAAGGAGTGATTGGTTGGAACTGAGTTTACTGGCCATAACATTCTACTAAAGGACATTATTGTAAAATTTGTAATAGAAATGCTTTAAAAATTAATAAGGTTTTTTTTTTTTTTTTTTTTTTCATTCTAGAGCCTTGAGTTGGTGTTATTTTGAATGATGACTTTGAGTATGGATTTGCAGTTGGTCATAATGTGCTTATCAATTAAATTTGGCTGCTGTTTGTATTTGCATTAGGAATTCTATAATATGAAACTGATTTTTATTGATAGAAGCATCTTTTAGTGCTATGAAAAGGGTACAAGGCTGAAGCCTCACTGTAAAGATAAAAAAGTCTGCTATTGATCCTTTGTCTTCCCTACTGCTATCAATAAAAATCATCAAATGATTTACCATTTAATTATTTTAATGGACAAATCAGTTTTGAAATCAGTTGAATTGTTACTTTTCCACAAACTGGGACCATTTAATCCATTCCAAGTAATGAAATTCCTTGTGAAATTTTAGAGCCTTGAGTCGGTGTTATTTTGAATGTGATGTATTTGAGTATGGATTTGCTTATCAATCAAATTTGGCTGCTGTTTGTATCTGCATTAGGAATTTTATAATATGAAACTGATTTTTATTGATAGAAGCATCTTCTATTAATAAAAATCATGAAATGATTTACCATTTAATTATTTTTATGGACAAATTAGTTTTGAAATCAGTTGAATTCTTACTTTTCCATAAAGTGGGACCATTTAATCCATTTGGACCAAGTAATGAAATTCCTTGTGAAATTTTAGAGCCTTGAGTCGGTGCTATTTTGAATGTGATGTATTTGAGTATGGATTTGCTTATCAATCAAATTTGGCTGCTGTTTGTATTTGCATTAGGAATGAAACTGATTTTTATTGGTAGAAGCATCTTCTATCGATAAAAATCATGAAATGATTTATCATTTAATTATTTTTCTGGACAAATCAGTTTTGAAATCAGTTGAATTCTTACTTTTCCATAAAGTGGGACCATTTAATCCATTTGGACCAAGTAATGAAATTCCTTGTGAAATTTTAGAGCCTTGAGTCGGTGTTATTTTGAATGTGATGTATTTGAGTATGGATTTGCTTATCAATCAAATTTGGCTGCTGTTTGTATTTGCATTAGGAATGAAACTGATTTTTATTGATAGAAGATGCTTCTATCAATAAAAATCATGAAATGATTTACCATTTAATTATTTTTATGGACAAATAAGTTTTGAAATCAGTTGAATTCTTACTTTTCCATAAAGAGGGACCATTTAATCCATTTGGACCAAGTAATGAAATTCCTTGTGAAATTTTAGAGCCTTGAGTCGGTGTTATTTTGAATGATGTATTTGAGTATGGATTTGCTTATCAATCAAATTTGGCTGCTGTTTGTATTTGCATTAGGAATTCTATAATATGAAACTGATTTTTATTGATAGAAGAGCATCTTCTATCAATAAAAATCACGAAATGATTTACCATTTAATTATTTTTATGGACAAATCAGTTTTGAAATCAGTTGAATTCTTACTTTTCCATAAAGTGGGACCATTTAATCCATTTGGACCAAGTCAAATCAATTGCTGTTGTGATGCAATTTTGCACACGACAAAAACATCACCCTCACCGTCACCGACCAGTCTCTCTAAAACCCTGGGTTTTTGTCCTTTAAAAACTCTCTCTGTCTCTCTCTCTCTATTTTTGCTAAGCTAAAAAAGCACTCTCTCTCTCTGTCTCTTGATTTTTTATTTCAAATGGGTAGTAGTGTTTGCAAGATTAAGGAGGGTCTGATAGTGTTCTTATTGATAATTGTGTCTCTTCTACTTGTAGCAGTAGAAGCTCGAAGGCCTTTCACTGTGGAATTCCCCACTCCCAATCCTGTATCATATGTTCCTAGTTCTGCAGCCGGAGCCGGTGGTGGTAATTGAAAGTTACATGCAGGTGAGTAAGCTAAACTCTCTTTTTTGATTTTTGATTTTATTTTTTATTGTAGCAATTGTCCAATTTCAAATCCAAGATTACTGTGCATGTATTTTGAGTAGCACTGAGATTGTGAAAGTGACCTTACCTTCATATATATATATATATATAAAGAGTAGCTGTATAGTTGCCGGAGATGGTGGTATTTGTCTTGCCGTTGCCGCCTTAAATCATCACATATGTCCCTGCCCTTCACAATTATCACAAACCTCGTATCTTTCTTTTGCACCGCCTCTCTGATTGTGATCACGTATGTTTCGGTTTCCTTTTCCGTTGTCGTCCTAGCTCACCGTCACATCCGCTTTCAGATTTCCCTCTTGAGGCCGTCTCCGGTAAACGCCTTCATAGACGCCGGAATCGGAGTTCCCCTTGTGATGAGAGTTCCGGGCGGATACATGAAGATGAGGGTTCCGACGACGACAGTGCTGGTGATCACCGCCACCACGTCGGAGACTAGGCGGATGGGGTTCCGTCTGACGGCCCGGATGATCACCGCCGCTAGTGACTATTGAGGTGGAGGATGAGGCGACGCTTAAATTTTTTAGTTTATACAATAAAATCATTTTTTTCTTTGTCCCTAGGCATTTATGGAATATATAAATCATAAACTTTTTAGTTTGGTCACTATTAGTCAAGAATATATCAATTTTGTTTAGATTTATATACAGAGAGGAA